CAGGCTCTGTTCAGTAAGGAACAGCTAAGAGGTCGCGAAGACAAGTCTTCACCCCTACGCTGTCGATTAGCGGCCAGTCCATTTGGACCGACAGTTGCATTTGTCGATGGATTTGGTTCGAAAGGTCGCCTTGGCAAAGGAAGTTTACATTTGAATACAATCTGGTGCCTCAAACACACCCACTACAAAACAGCATTTGGAATATATTAAATAAATATAATAATAATAATAATAATAATAATAAAAAGGTTTGTTAAGAAAATTCACAAACGAGCAAGAAGAGAATAAATAAAGAAATCAATTTCTTAAAATGGGGCAGGAAGAAAACACAAAAACCCGAAAGAGATAGTGTGAATTTTTGGTCTAAGTAAATATCAACATTTTTTTATCTTTTCACAATGTTTTTCTTCCATACATTAGCAATTAGTAAGCATTATAACATAGATCATTTACTACAAAATCTATAGAAGCACTAACTGACCCATTCGGACTATACGGTAACGTAGAGAACTGAGTTCATGTATCCCTCGTTGAACCTGCAGCGCTCACTGACTACAGATTTCAGCACGATATAAATACAACAGTAAGGTGGATGAGAGCATGTAAATTGTTGTGTATGTAATATTTGGTTCTCTTTAAAGCTTGTTTATTCTCGACTTTGGTTCTTTGGATGTACTTGAGCGTGTTTATCCTGGTTTCTTATTTGTTGAACTGAATTTTCACAGTATTGTTTCAACCACCTGATTAGATTCTCTAACACAACTAGATGGGAACAAGTAAGAAACATAAAAAATGAGATTTCCGCAAATATGTGAATACTTTTTCCCCAAATTAATGCACACAAATCTACACACACAGCCAAGAAAAGTCCCACAAAACAGACAGACGGAACGAAGGACCAAAAGTAACAACCCTCCCAACCCCCAAATGAACCTGAAACATCTTCTTCAGATGAGTCCAGTGAGGTCATCAAAGATCCCACCACCAAGGACCAGGAAGAGTTTGAATGACAGGAGGCAGAGGCGGATCCCTTGCTACATGGTTCTGGGTGACCTCAGTCCAGAGATGCATGAAGGGATACTCTTTTTCTGTACAGCGACTCAGTTTGCTCCTGCATCCATTTTTTTGGCTTGTAGAAGCAGCAGAGAGGATGGGAGCACTTTCGTCGTGACAGATCCCACACGTTTCCCATGTTGCCATGCTGTCTTACCAGAGCGGCCTCGTCAAGGTTTGCCCCGCCCCCCCCCTTCTCTTTCTGCATCATGAGAATGATGAACTGATCATGTATAAATTAATCGCTTTTGTATTCAAAAGGGAGAAAGTGACGGAGGGAGGCATGAAATGGAATGAGGAAGGATACAAGCACATAAATATTAAGAGAGAAATTAAAGTATTTACACTTAACTTGAGGCATGAAAGCTAGAGAGGAGCTTGTTCTCACTTTTATTATACTACAGGTGCATCTCAATAAATTAGAATGTCGTGGAAAAGTTCATTTATTTCAGTAATTCACATGTCATCAGACAAACAAGTGCATCAAGCTATGCAGTGCTAATATGATGAACATCAAAGACCAAACACCCAATCCTCTTGATATGCCCGATAAGACATGGAATGATGATGATGATGATGATCATACACACAAAAAAAGACTGATGGAAATATCTGCTACTTCTGAGAAAAAAAAATCAACAAGAATGAGGAAGAACCAGAGAAACACAACAGCGTTTGAGTCCGGCTCGATCATATTTAACATCAAATCATAAAAAACATGAAAGAAAATGATGTGATTGCATGGCAGATGATGATGAGCTCAGCGATGGCTGGATTGTTGTCACTGGGTCTGGTCCTGGACGGTTGGCTATTTACAGGTCCTTTGGATAAAGCTTTTCCATCCGTATTTTTGGTGTTTGTTTTTGGTATTTGGTATGCTTGTATTTTTTTGTCATAGTGAGTCTCTCAAAGTTCCATTATACTTTTTGGTATTCAGTACTTCACATGTTTGCTTCAAAGAGTTGCAGTTGTTCTATAACACACAGTAAAGTTCATTCTTTTTGATGTGTTTGGTGCTCAAGGATCTCTCTTCTCACTGCACTACAGTTTTTTAATTTGTTCTCCTTTTATTTATGTATTTGACTGCGTCCCGCTAAGCCGCATGGTGTTTTTTTGGTTTCATTTTCCCTCCTCTCCTCTTCCTTCCACTCAGTCTCTCCATCTCTCCCCTCTTCTACTCTGTATATTTTTGGCATCAGTAGAGTGGGAGAGCGGAAGAGAGAGTATAAATGAGAGGAAACGAAAGGGAGCGAGGGGATCAAGAGATGCTTTGGTTGACAGGTAAGGTTTAATCTCCTTCTCCTCCTCCTGTGATTGGTCTTGGGCAACGTCACTCGATTTTAGCCCCTCCAATCGAGTGTGGGCTGTGTAGCAACTCGCCGGAAGAGCAGGAAGAGATGGGGCTCGAGCAAGGGGAGGGACTCATGCCGCCTGTATCAGGAAATAAGGTTTTGGCAAGAGCTGAACCGCCCAATCCCATGCCGGTGCCTGTTGCCATTTGCAACAAAGAGGAGTGGTTGAGAAAGAGGGAAGAGGGAAAACCTGCTCCTTGGCCTCCAGAACCACCAATTAACACCTTGCTGCTGCCCTCAAGACTGGAAATGGGCAGGTGGCCACCACTGGCTGCTAGGGCTGTGGAAGAGACACAGTATTACTCACAAGCATCAACGAAACTGACATGTTACGCAATGAACAGGATGCGCTTGTACCATGTGAACTGATGAACAGATGTGAGAAAAGGAAAATAGGAGTGGAAGGACGTAAACAAACACTCAAACAGAGAGGACACACATGACTGATATGAGGTGGCAGAGTCATTAGTGTCTCTCCCACCCTCCCTTTCACACAAACCTTGTATAGTAGCAAGTGGGTTGCTGCCAAGAAGAGCTTGGTTCATTCCTGTTTTAACTCCCCTCACCGTATTCCTGAGTCACACAAACCAACCCACAAAACACAGAAAAGAGAAAGGAATACAGGGAAGAGGGAGGGAAAATGAAAAAAACATTTAGAAGCATAGTTAAGAGTTGGAAAAACTGTGCAAGAAGACAGGTTTTTGCAGAGTAAATATGGCTTTTCTTGTAATACAATGCAGGCCACACACCAGCAGACCTCAGTGACAATCCTTACGCTAAGATGTATTTGACCAAATCTTTTAAACAAATAAGCAGTATCGCTGAACAAATATACAAAAATGACAGCACTTAAAAAATAAGAAATGTAAATATAAAAATAACACAAATTACATTTTTTTTTTTTAATTGTAGTGTCAAAACAAATATATAATTTGTAATTAATAATATTTGTATATAATAATCTAACTGATAACTTTTTAAATGAAGTGTTTACCTTTATACTGTATGTATACATAGTACTGTTAAAAAAATTGGAATCAATTTAATTGATGCATGAAAGTGACAGTAAATCTTGTTTGTACATTGTTACAAATAAATGCTGTTTTCTTGAACTTTGTAATGACAGGAATGACAACAGATAAATAAACTGCATTTAAAAAATATAATAGAAAACATTTCTTTTAAATTTGTAATAGTGCTTTACAATATTACTGTATTTGTGATCAAATTAATGTAGCCTTGGTGAGCATTTTTTCAATCTTAGCACCCCAAGCATTTGAATGGTAATGTATAATTGATGTAAGTAATATTGACAATGACAAATACATTTAAATGAGTGACTGCGTGTGTGTGTGTGTATTTTATATTTGTGTGTGTGTGTGTTTTATATTTGTGTGTGTGTGTGAGAGAGAGAGAACACAGACTCTGCTGGTTGTATTCACCTCAAACATGCAGCAAAGTCAGTGATGTAGTTAGAAACATCGCCATTCTTTTTATGCCATGAACTGCGGATGACAAAACCACACACAAAAATACATTTACACACACACAAACACTGCAGTTACCTACATTTGCTGAGCCACAGGGAGTAAAAGGTGATGAATATGTGCTGAGTGGATGTGTGTGTGTGTGTGTATGTGGGAGAGAGAAATTAACTCACCCTGTATTCAGACTTAGTGTACTGTGAGTTGGAGGGGCGGGGCTGGCATCTCTGCGGGGAGGCGGGGTTACAGGAGATGGTGCAGAGCTTAAGGAGGGGCCGCTTGGGGTCAAAGGGCAAACTGATGACATAGTGGTCACTGATGGTGGGAAAGAGTTAGAGCATCCATCATATATATATATAAATATCATTTAATTATATGTCTGATCAGCAGACGTCCACTTGTGCACCCTACCTGCTATACCGAGACTGCTCACTGTCTGCGATGGTCCCTGACTCGGCATCTGTAAGGAAGACACAGATATGATGTCACAGGTCAAAAGGGAAACATGATGGACAGAGAGTAACGGAGGGTGAAAAAGGAAAGAGGCTGGTGTCAAATACTGGAAGGCTTGTGCTCTGTGAATTTAAGTCACTCAACTACAAAACCTCAGTTATATAGCAAAATACTGAGTTTCAAAGTGAAAACATGCAAAATTCTTCCGAAAGAATTAGTAACAGAGGCTGAATCCTCCTAAAGTATTATGACAATGACAGTGAATTAGTTGTGTAAACTGGCTATGAAGGTATGAATGATTACACATTAAAATGCAAAGCAATGCAGGGTGGGTGAAATATATGCACCATTATGGGAATGATTATTATCATCTGCTCATGCAGGGGAACCTAGTAGTGTTGTGGCACAGGGTGGTTGGAGACGGGGGTATGGGTCAAGGGAGCAAGCCGGGTCGTACCATGTGCGGGCTGTAGCAGGGGGGTTTGTGCGAGGTGGGCTGGGGTTGGCTGGGCAAGGGAGGGGTGGCACTGGAGGGGTTAATACGTTTCTCTTTCTGTCGGCGGTTGCAGAACCAGACACGGATCACCTCCTTCTGCATGCTGAGCTTCTCGGCGATGAGTAGGATCTCCTCTGAGTTAGGCTTCTGGTTCTGAATGCAGAAAACACAACCGAGGTTTAGCATGGGATTATTAGAGGACATTCATTTTGGAAGCATTTAGTTACTACCACTTAAAAGTTTAGGGTCAGAACTTAACAGAGCAGAACAGAACAGCACTTTTATTCAGCAAGGATGCATTAAACGGAAAGTCAAAAAGTGACAGTAAAAAGACATTTGAAATGTTACAAAAGATTTCTATTCCAAATAAATGCTGTTCTTTTTAACTTTCTGGCAATCAAAAATTCATCTTTTTACTATCACATGAATAAATTTATGTAAAAATTGTTGTCTTATATTGTAATAACATTTAATAATATTACTGTTTCTACTGTATTTAAAAACAAATGCAGCCTTGGTGAGCATAAGAGACTTATTTTGAAAAATAAATAAATAAATAAAAACCTACCAACCCACTTATTCATAAGTTTTGGTCCTGCCAAAAGCTGAAAAACTACTGGATACTTGTATTTAAAACACTAAATGAAGACTTTAACTTGAATATAACACCCTGTGTTGAAATTGCTATCTTTGGAGTACCAGAACATGGAATACCTTTGACTAACAATATGAAAAATGTTTTTGCAAGAAGGAGAATATTGTTGGAATGGAAATAAAAAAATCCACCAAAAACTTCAGCGTGGATTTGTGATTTAATATTATACTTAAAACTAGAAAGAATAAAATATGTCAAAAAGGGATCCGTTCAAAAATTTTATAAAATTTGGAGACCTATGATTACATATTTTGAAAAGATGAAAACCCTACCTTCTAACTAATTAATAGGACTAAAGTTTTAGAAAGGCCATCTGACCTTAATATACTTGGTTATGTCATGCTTGCTTATATATCTACACAGAAAGACCATTTGAGTGAAACTGAGTGATTATTTACTTGTTTAATTAACAAAAATTGACTTTGATATATCTGCTTGATAAAAAAATATTGAAATGTATCCTGCTATTTTGTATCGTAAGCACTCTGTTAATATTATTTATTCATATAATTATTAATTGGTCGTTTGGTTATTTATTTATTATTTTTCCATTTTCTGTTAATTCAGGGTTGTGGAACCGGGTGGGGAAAGAAAATAAATGTAATTGTTTGAACGTTTTTTGGTTTAAACATGTTAGAAAAATTAATAAATAAAGTGCAAAAAAAAAAAAAAAAAAAAAACCTACCAACCCCAAACTTTTAACTGGTAGTGTATATTGTGCAAGGGATTTGAAATCATGTGTTCTGACCGTGATGAAGCTGCGTTCCAAGGCGATGCGGACGTTGGTCTCAATGCTGGTGCGTTTCTTCCTACGGCGGCCAAGCAGGGCCTCAAACCCCAGGGAAGGAGAGGAAAGAGCACTGGGACTTGGCAAGGTGCTGTCCATCGACATTGTTTCTAAGTAAACCATTTTTTTTACTGTTAATTCAGTCACAAAATGTTTTATATATGGCTTATTTTTAATGATGTGGCTTAAATGCCACTCAAACTGTACAGAACATGAACATGTTTTTGAGATTGAAAGGAACTTAAAGGGATAGTTCACCCAAAAATGAAAATTCTGTCATCATTTATTCACGCTCATGTCGTTCCAAACCTGTATGACTTTCTTTCTTCTGTGGAATATAAAGGAAGATATTTTGAAGAATGTTGGCTTCCACTGTATGAACAAAAACAAAACAAAAAAACAATTGAAGTCAATAGGAATTGAAACTGTTTGGTTGCCAACATTCTTCTAAATATCTTGTGAAGAAAGAAAGTCATGCAGGTTTGGAACAAAATGAAGATTTTCAGAATTGGGTGGACTATCCCTTTAAGCACTAGGTTTGATTGGCAGCTGTAATCTAATGCAGCTGTTTGTGATGGTTACCTGCGTCAGTCAGCCACTTCTCCAACAGAGGTTTGAGTTTGCACATGTTCTTGAAGCTGAGATTAAGCGCCTCAAAGCGAGAGATCGTGGTCTGACTGAAATCATTCCCATAGAGCTTCCCCATGGCCAATCCCACATCACCCTGTAGAAGGAAACAGAGACCAAACATTACTATACAGGGAAATACAAATCTTCTGAGTGTGCTAGTGTGTGTGTGTGTTTATGTGTGTGTACCTGTGTGAAGCCCAATTTGATCCTTCTCTGTTTGAATGTGCGGGCAAATTGCTCCAGTTCCTCCAGATCACTGGGCTCCTCAGGATGAGAGGTCACTGGAGTCACTGTGTTCACGCTGCTCTCTGCAACCTTCTCCCTCTGCCACAAACCAGACACACACATACAAGACTCGAACATGAGTGTCAGATGTAAATGTGATGGGAGGAGAATAGCAGAGAATGCAGAATTGTGCACATACATTACCGTTAACAATTTTGGGGTTGGTAAGACCTTTGTTGCTTTTGACTACAGCTGCATTTATTTGATCAAAATACAGCAACAACAGTATTATTGTGAAATATTTTTACAATTTAAAACAGTTTTCTGTCTTGATACGTTTTCAAATTATTCCTGTGGCATCAAAGCTGAATTTTCAGCATCATTACTCCAGTCTTCAGTGTCACATGATCTTTCAGAAATCATTCTAATATGCTGATTTGGTGCTCAAGAAACATTGTTAACATTATAATCATTGTTGAAAACAGTTAATATTAATACTTATTAATACTTCCGTGTAATTTTTTTGTTGAAATCATGATACTTTTTCAGGATTTTTTGAAGATTAGAAAGTTCAAAAGAACAGCAACTGTCACTTTTGATTAATGTATTGTGTTTTTGCTGAATAAAATTGAGTAAAAAAAAATAAAAAATTACCCTCAATCTTTTGAACGGTAGTGTATATTTTACTACAACTGTCATGCACACAAAATTACAAAGTTCAAACATATTATTGTGTTTCCCTTTTTAAATAGGGAACTGAAAAAACTGAAAAATAATGACAGTCATCACAGTTTTTACAGTTAATTATTCAGTTATTTTATTCTGTTGTATGATTTTTTTTCTTTATAGAGTTTTCTACATTTAACAAATAAATATCTTTCCAAGTACCCCTTGGAATCTGTTTAAGTAACCTCTGGCATATGTTTACCCCTGTTGGGGAACAGAAAACTCACAAATATATGATCTTCCATCAGACGTTTGTACCTGTGCTTGAAGACTAAGTCTGGGTGGAGCGGCCAGCAGACTTCCTTGGTTTTGCTGAGGTAGTGGAATTAGATTTGGCATTGATAGCAGCCCTGAAACATACACAACCATTAAGATTTTATTTATTACAATTAAATCGAATCAGATTTATAGGATCATGACAACTGACATGCAACAACGCTTAAAGGAACACTCCACTATTTTTGAAAATAGGCTCATTTTCCAACTCCCCTAGAGTTAAACAGTTGAGTTTTACCGTTTTCGAATCCATTCAGCCGATCTCCGGGTCTGGCGGTAGCACTTTTAGCTGTAGTTTAGCATAGATCATTGAATCTGATTAGACCGTTAGCATCTCGCTCAAAAATGACCAAAGAGTTTCTATATTTTTCCTATTTAAAACTTGACTCTTCTGTAGTTACATCGTGTACTAAGACCGACGGAAAATGAAAAGTTGCGATTTTCTAGGCCGATATGGCTAGGAACTATACTCTCATTCCGGCGTAATAATCAAGGAACTTTGCTGCAGTACCATGGTTGCAGCAGGCACAATGATATTACGCAGCGCCTGAAAATAGTCCCAGCTAGGTAACTTCCAATAAGCCTATTTTCAGGCGTTGCGTAATATCATTGCGCCTGCTGCACCCATGGTACTGCAGCAAAGTTCCTTGATTATTACGCCGGAAACTCAACTGTTTAACTCTAGGGGGGTTGGAAAATGAGCCTATTTTCAAAAATAGTGGAGTGTTCCTTTAATGTTTAATTGTTTAATTCATATTAAACATCAATATTGTAAAAATATAATTTTTAACACAACTAAAATGAACAAAATTACTTGAATAAAGATTAGATCACTTTGATGAACAAGATCGAATGAGAGAGTAAAATTATCTGATCTTCCCATCACTAAAACTAATAGTAAATAAGCTACCTTGCTGCCCTTGCTGTGTTTGTGGTAAAAGAAACTGTGCGGGTGAAGGCAGAGTGTGTCCTGGAACGAGGACTAACTGCTGCAGCTGCAGCAACTGCTGAATGTCCTGAAAGAGAGAAAAGAAACAGATGCTGAAAGGATGTGAAGGTTTCACTCTGATGAATGACTGAAAGAGCAAAAGGACTGATTCGGGAACATTATTAACTGTGACATTAAAGGCCTGCGGAGGGAATTCACCAAGAAGAAGCGAACAAGGTGCAGGCCTTTGAGTCTCAAAATTGGCTGTTCAGTGAATTTGTCCCTAGTATCACCTCATTTAAGGTGTGCTGCTCAACGCTGATTGGCTGTACCTGTGCAGTGAACTGGATTGGCTGAGAAAGAGGAAGCTGGTGAGGAGGAGGCGGGACAGGGACGGCGGTTTGTTCCTGTGTGCTCTGCGATTGGCCCTGCAACTGCGGCTGCACTGCCTGCTGACTGGCCTGCTGCTGGGCTTGCTGTTGATTGGCCGCGTGGGCCGCATGCGACTGCTGCACAGCTGCAGCGAGGAGCTGTGCCTGCTGTAAGAGCAGCTGCTGCTGTGCTGGCAAAAGTGCAGTCAACTAGAGAGAGAAAGAGCGGCAGAGAAGGAAAGTGTGGTGAAAATAAGAGTTAGAAAAGTGGATGAAAGAAAGCACATCTAAAGCAAGCAAGCGCACATAGGAACCCACACAGACACACACACACACACACATATATATATATATATATATATATATATATAGAGTA